ATATTATATATACTTAATAATGCTTATATATATACATATATATCTATCACAGTACTATATATACATATAACCTAATATATTATTATATATAGAGAGAGAGATCGAGCAGAGAGAGAGAGCAGAGAGAAGCAGAGAGAGTACGAAGAGAGATGAATGATCGAGCAGAGAGAGATGAGAGAGAGTATATAAATATAACTATATATACATACAATCATATCTAATCTTATATCTATAAATCATATCTATCTATCTATTCTATCTATATAATATATATATACTAATATAGCTATATATATATAATATATTGCTTGTGCGTGATAGAATTGGCTGTGTGGTGTGTGTGTGTGTGTGTGTGTGCTGTGTGTGTGTGTGTGCCTGTGTGTGTGTGTGTGTGTAGATTGTGTGAGTTGTGTTGTGTGGTGTTATGTGGTGTGGGGTGTGTTGTGATACTATCATTATACGTATATATATATATATACTATAATTATCTATATATTAGCTATTATATATAGCATTACTATATAGTAGGATATAGTATAGATATTATATTATAAATTTACTTATGTATACATTATAGCTGTACACACAGCCACACACCACACACACACAGATATATACATATCTAATAGTTTTTATACAATCATATATATATCACTATCGTATAATACATTATATACATACATACATATAATATATATTTATATATTAATATTATATATATTATAGTATACTATATATATATATTACTATAATAGACAGAGAGACAGAGAAGACAGAGAGAGATGAGAGGATGAGAGGATGAGAGAGAGGAGATGAGATGAGAGAGGATGAGATAGAGGAGAGAAGAGAGTGAAGACAGAGACGAAAGAAAGAAGTAGAGTAGAGGAGATCAGATGCATTTATTCAAATATGAACTATCGGTTGTTATCAAGCTAACGCACGATCCTAACAGTTAAGTACTAGTTTTTTTCTCTCTCTAATCGACCTCACTTGAACGCACAATTGGCACGGCTAATAACAACGAACGCCCAACGGATTCGCCTTTTCCAATTCTCTTATTTCCTTCATGAGCGAGTGCAAAATAATGAGCAATAGTTTGAAAAGCATTTCTGCTTTCTCTCTCATTGGTATATTATGTATGTATATGTGTGTGTATTATATATATATGTATATTTATATTAGATATAAACTTAAATATATATATACTGTAGTATAATATTAGTATAGTTATATACAATAAATTATGCTAATATATATATAATATGAATATATAATAATATGTGAGTGATGTGGGTGATGTGGTGTGTGTGTGTGGTGTGTGAGTGTAAGTGTTTAAATTGCACAACACAGACACACACACCACACACAATACACACACGCACACACACACAAAAAACCAATTCTTATTTGCTCATTATTTCATATTACAGATTATATGTTTACATATATAAGTATATATTATATAATATATATTATATATATATATTAAATTCTTATATAATGTATATAATATAAAATATATATATATATAATATATATTATTTACTATATATGTGTTGGTGTGGTTGTGTGTGTGCTGTAATTATTTACACACACACACACACACACACACACACACACATCACCACACCGACACACACACACTTTTTACACTACACACACTCACAACACACATATACACACACACACACACACCCACACTATCACACACACACACACACAACCACATCACAAAACACACACTATATAATAATATAATACCTATAGATAATTATATACGTATAAATTATAATAACAATAATTGGATAACATATATATATACCTATATACATAATTATACTATATATAATTACTAATATTAAACGATGTATATATATATACTATAAAAATTTAGTGTATATTA